ACTCTTCACAGAAACAGTTTAAAACGTGCATGATTATGTAAATCTATCCTGACAGTTTAAGCCATTTTTAAGCAAAAACATATGTGGAAAATTTAGCTCTAGCTGGTTTCAACAAAAGGAAGAAGCTATTTTCTCTGCTGAAGTTTACAGTATGAAGACCCTGGCCAATTTATTGCAATTTTGTATACCACACTTCTTTTGCAGTAAGTACAGTTTTCATCTGTGTGGGAGATACACAGCATGCAATCATTTAACTGCAAGAGGATTTACATGCAGTTGTGTTTATGACAGTGATATAGCAGTGGGTAAATGCTATACCTCAGAGTGGTTTGACAACTTTGGCTTCATAGCAACCCTGTGTGGTTATAGCTTCTTCAGAAGGGTGGTTATTACATGACACATTTTCTTCTTTTAAGAGCATTTTACCTCCATGCTATATGGGGAAGGAAGACGGTGGTTACACCCTGTATTTATTATTCAAATCCTAAATTTTACTGATAAGAAGCTGAGAGAATTCTTTCTGAATTAAGGCTAACTATACAGTTTCACTTATGCAAGAATGCGAAACATTACCCAAGAGGCTGCAGAAACGGCCTGCACTCGTGTTCTGAGTTAGGACAGACAGCATAAGCACCCTCCTTTAGTTAGTTACATTTAAATTACTTGTGTTGGGGGACAGCTTTGAACAAGTGGTTAGAAATAGTTATCAGTTAGTCTTGGAAGATGAATGTATTACTTTGTTTAGCAGGTTTAGAAGGAGGAGGAGGCTTTTCACTTTTGTCTTTCTTAAAACAAACTACCAAAGCTTAAACTACCAAATTAAATACTGTTTCCCTGATTACTAGTGATAATAACCATCACAGGTGTTTCCCCTTCTCTGTTAGCAATTTAACACTTTTCTTCCCCAGCGGAGATTGAGAAGTTTGCTAGAAACAGTTGATTCTCTCTGATTGTCACACAGGCTTGCGGTTAGGTTAACAGGTTGAGTACCTTTTATGTCAATACAACACATAACAATACCTGATAAGGTGACACAATTGCTAACGTGTTTAAACTAAAAATCTAACATATATAGTTTCTGGGTGTTTGAATGTGATTAGACTTTATGTTTAGGCTGTAGCAGACCCTTAGCGAATTGCTCATAGCTTCCCTCTGCTGTGGCTGGCCTCAGGACTGGCACATCAAAGGCAGGAGAGAGCACAACTGCCTTCACTCTTTTTATCTCTTGAGAAAGGGCAGGATTAAATCACACATCCTCCTAGGTCTCCTCGCAGTATTAACTGCTTCATGAGTGGTCTACCGCAAGGCGGTGCGTGCCGTGCCTGCTGCGGAGGTGTGCTGCTGAGCATGTTTTCCTCTGTGCCAGCAGTGGTTGAGTCAGAAACGGCGTGGGGCTGCGTGCTGCGCCCTGCTCGCAGCAGCGGCACCCCAAGCGGTGGAGCCAGGCGGGCATGCTCAGGAGCAGAGCGCAGCCTCCAAAGGGAATTCTTGTTTCACCGCACTGTTTAGTCTAAGCCAAAATGGCCCAATTCTGGAGCCGCCGAGAAGCTGGATGGCAGTGCTGGAACGGCTCGGGCTGTCTTCTCCAGCTGCGTGGGCCCAGCAGTCACGAGTGTGGGGACGGGCACGTGCAGGAGAGCACTGCCCGCCGTGGGCTCGGTGGGCAGTGGGCACTCGGGCTTTGAGGAGTGGGTGCCAGCCATGCCCCCGCACTGGCTGCTGTGGCAGGGGGATGAATGAACCCTGCGGGCAGGATCTCGTTTGTGGGCTGCCCTTTAGCCTAAACCAGTAGCGTGTAGATTTGACACCTTCAGGAGGTCTTTGAAAGAATTACATGTAACCTGATGGGTAGTTTCTCACTCCTATGAAGAGTATGCAGTATTATAGTATTTTAACATTATTTATCAAACACTTAAGTAACTTAAGCACCATAGAGTGCAAGCTTATGGAAAACAGGAAGCATTCATATAACTCAAATGAAAGACTGCTCTACAAAAAGTGAGAGCAATTGCGTGTCAAGAAAACTGTAATATTGAGCTAAATATCATTTGACTGTCACATTGGCTTTAGGTTGTCGTTGATGTGTTGCCTAAACCTGAGTGACGCTTTCAGTACTGCAATAGTTTGGTAAATTAGGAGGAAACTCGCTTTGAATTGAATTTTCATAATGAGGTCAAACATACACAGAAAAGTAAAGTGTGAATGGATGTGTTTATACAGGTAGAACCGAGTTAGCAGATGGCCTTAGATGGGATTTTGGTAACAAATAATAGGGTATTTAAGTGTGCTCTTCTCTCTCTGTAATATTAATTTTCCAGCCTTTAAACTGTGAGAGTGGTGTTTGTCACTTACGATGTCTGATGGCCAATCTTCTCTAATTTTATGAAGTAACCATTGTTAAGGCGTTTGTGAGAATACAAAATCTGTGTTGCCTGCTTATTATTGAAGCTGTTTAGCACATCAGATGTCACCCCAGATTACCAGTTTCATTTCAGTTGGACTGGAAATAAATACAGATCAGTAATAACGTAACGCTGTGTACCTTAAGGTTAAATGTCTGACAAGACAACTAGCGCTAATGGACTGTGACATTTTTAAAGCCATAGGACTGACATTGCTTGCTGTGTCTGAATGAAACGTTTACAGTGATTTAACTCTACAGTACAATATATTAAGACATTGTTATTTTTTCTTGCACATGCTGTAAGTTATCTTACTGCGTCTGAATTCCCGGCCCACCTGTAAAAGCAGCATTTTCCCTGTTCTGAAAAATTCTGAACACTCCTAGTGGAATTTGATTCAGTTCAGTATGTCCTGTAAGATTTGTGCTCAGTGCAGCACAACTTTAAAATATGTTCTACAGAGAAAGCACCATGAACACAAAACTCATCAGATCTGCCGCTGTAACTTTGCGGGGTGGCATCCCACTGCACGTGTGGTATTGATAGAGCTAGCTTAATGTAAGCAAGGATGACAAAAACCAGATCAAAAGCTTGATGCCAAAGATACCAGCTAAATTTTAGCTGCTGTACCCAATTAGCTCTTGGCATTTTTTTATATAAGGAAGAATTAAAACAGTCAATATTTCGCATTAATGAGACTTGAAGGACTGAACTGGTAAATGGGTAAGTATACTTGAATAGCTTCTAATCATGTTTAAATACTATCGTACTGCATTAATAACTAGTTGTAGAAATAGATAAGAATTAGCCATTGTGGGTTATTTAATGAAGTATTGTTTCAAGGTCTTTGTCTCATACAGGTTCTTTCTAAACATAAGTCTTTGTTGCAAATATTAAGATGCTTCCTCTGGCTTTTATTTACTTTTCCTTTGTTTTATTTTCGTTATGTATTTATACATCGGAGTACTATTATGTTATACTCTGTCCCCTACTAAATATATTATAATGCACTGATGCTTTTCTAATAGTTTTGTTTTGTGACTCTCTCTTGCAATTGCTAAGACAGAAAAAGTAATGGTTTTGCTAATTCAGTTTTCAGCAAAGCGTCTTTTTAATGGATTGGGTTTTTTCAGTGTATTCAGTCTTTTGGTATCCCTTATGCAGTGTGTGAATGTTTGTATCAAAGATGCGAAACTTCATCTTGCAGACGAACAGTATGGTGACAGCTCCTGCTACAGAGTATATGAAAGACTCCAGCAGTGGGATAATGCTTCATACGTTCCAAGTAAATCCTAAGAGAATATGAACCCATCACTAGACAGATTTAAAATGTAAATGTGTTCTGCTTAATCATCATCAAGTCAACAGCCGTTAAATGCATAGTTGTGATAATGCCAAGATGTACCTTCAGTACGGTTGTTTTTTACTTAGAACTTCCAAATCCTCCAGAAAAAAAGCGGGTAAACTACAAGCGAGGACCAGGGAAAAAGAGAAGCAAGGTGACTGTGCTTAGGCTCGCAGGATCAGGTCCTTCAGATGTGATTTATTATAGCTCCGCTCGAGGACGTGCGTGCGTGCCCGAGCTGAGGACGCGGCCCCCGTGTGCCCGACAGCTGTGAGTCCTGCAGCCAGAGTCTCGTAGCTGCCGCTCCTAGTTCCCCATGCGGGCAGGGGAAAGACGCGAACCAAAACAAGCGCAAGTTCCGAGGCCGTTTCCCGCGAAGGTGGGAGGCGCGGGGCGGGCGCGGGGCGGGCGAG